TCTCGAAACATAATAATGTGCCTTATTCCAGGAAAACACACATACACACAGACACACAGACACACACACACACACACACACACTCTTTAAACACTCCAAAACAAATAACAAATGTCTTAAATGAGTATCAGAAACTAGAGAGTGGCTAAGAGAAAACAGAGGCTAGTGGCTGCTATGATTTAAAACTGAGTGTCCCACACAAGGTTTGCTGATAGTTTTATGTCAACCTGACACAAGTTAAAGTAATCTGAGAGGAGGGAACCTCAATTAAGAAAATGCAGCTATAAGATCAGGCTATAAAGAAACCTGGAGGGCAGTGATTCTCAACCTGTGGGTTGGACCCCCTTGGAGGTAAGATGAGCCTTTCACAAGGGTCACCTAAGACCATCAGAAACATAAAATGCTCATTGCTATTCCTAACAGTAGCAAAATTACAGTTGTAAAGTCACAACAAAAATAATTTTATGTTGGGGTCATTACAACATGAGGAACTGTATTAAAGGGTCACTCACAGTATTATGAAGGTTGAGAACCACTGCTGTGAGACATTTTCTTGATTACTGATTGACGGAGGAGAGCCCAGCCTTTTGTGGGCGGTGCAGTCCCTGGGATCTATAAGAAAACAGGCTGAACAAGCTATGGAGAGCAAGTTCTTAAGCAGCACCCCTCCATATCCTCTGCATCAGTTCCTGCTTCTGGGTTCCTGTCCTCACTGCTTTTGATGATGAGCTGTTACATGGAACTGTGAGTGAAATAAACCCTGTCCTCCCCTAGCTGCTTTCAGTAATGGTGTTTCATCAGCAACAGTAGCCCTGACTAAGACACAAGGATTCTCATGCTTTAGATGCTTGGTCCTCAGCAGATGTTACTGTGAAATAGTGGGGGCCAGCTGACGGAGCAGATCTCTAGGCACAGGCCTTCTCTGCTTTTCATAGAGGTCTCTGATCTCTCTGAGTCATAATGTAAACAGCCTTTATCAGGCTTTTGCTGTTACTAAGCAGCTCAGTCATGCCTTCCTGCTATGGCAAACTGAAAACCTCAGTCAAAACAGATCTTTCTTTCCTTCAACTAGATTTTAGCAGGGATTTTAGCCACAGTAACACTGAACTAAGATAGCAATGAACCCTGAAATTTAAATGCTATTGAATGTAAACAAAGAATGGTAGACTATGGAGATTAGAAGTTTGAGGTTTATTTCATTTCTTATATGGAAATCTAACTCATCATTTGATAGGAAGCCTGGGGAAGGAGCCTCAGGGACTGCACCTATGCTGCCTTTCCTAGCAAGACAAGGAAGAGGAAGGTGAGCAATGCTTACACCCCTGTGACCCTAAAGCTTGTTAAATACCAAGCAAGCAAACAAACAAAACTGAATACTTTCTAGAAGTATCCACATTCTTCAAGGTTAAAAACTACATGCTAAACAAGATGCTGTTCCTAAATGAGATAATTATAAGAAAAAAAACAATAAAAAACAAACAACAAAAATTAAGACTTCCTGAGAAACAAGTATTTGAGAATCAGGCTTAAAAGACAGTGGCTTAACCAGAACACTTAACAACGCTTGTTACAGGAAACTGCTTTTCTTCATTTCAGCTGTAAATGAACTCATCCTCTGTGTGACAAATAGCCTTCTACTCAGAATGTGACCACTCTGACCCTGTGACAATGAGTCTAACACACTGTGTTTGTTCTTCTGTTTTACAAAGTTCCTGTGTTCCTCCCCCTCCTCCTACCTCTCAGTTCTTTTTCCTAACAACTTTATAAATGACTTTGACTGCCTTTGGAAACCTGAGCTATGTCTGTTCTATGCAAAGCTGCTCCTTCTACACACCGTGAGGGTGAGGTCAACACGAATCTGATAGACACCTGGATGGGGCTGGAGAGAGGACTAAGGGACTAGAGCTCTTGTTCTTACAGAAGACCCCAGCTCATTCCCAGCATCCATATGCAGTTCACAATGGTGTAAATCCAGTTCTGTAGGACCTGATGCCCTCTTTTGTCCTCCATGTGTTAGGGGCATTGGGAATACATATGATGTTGCTGTGGGACAATGGTCTTGTACTCTGTAAAGTTTTGTCATTTGTACTGGTTCAATAAAATGTTAATTGTCCAGTAGCCAGACAGGAAGTATAGCCAGGGTGACCAGAAGAAAAGAGTTTGGAGAAGAGGAAAGGCTCAGTTTGCAGTTGTCACCCAGACCAAGAGGAAGCAAGATGGGAATGCCTCACTGATAAAAGGTACCAAGCTACATGGCTAACATAGACAAGAATTATGGGCTAATTTAATATGTGAGAATTAGTTAATTAGAAGCTTGAGCTAATAAGCCAACCAGTTTATAATTAATGTAGACCTCTGTGTGTTTGCTTTGGGACTGAATGGCTATGGGGCTGGGCAGGACAGAAATACCTGTCAACATGATGTATATGCATATATACATACAGGCACGCACACACATAAAAACACAAAGAAATGAACACATGTAAAAAGAAATCAAGTGAAACTTGGGACTGAAGGGAATGTGAGGGAGTCTAAGAAAAACAAATCTATTCTAAACATATTTTATTTCTGCTGCATCATGGGAAGAGGAGAGAAATAGTGTCTGAGGTGTATAGACATTGTTGTGTGTTTTTATATAATTGTAAAGGAATAGTATTGGTTTATGAAAGCATTTTTTCACAGACAAAGGAAATCAGCACATTTTCAAAAGTGAAACATGTCAAGAAATCACATTCTATGATTGTATGCCAATAAAATTCAACAAGAGAAGAATGACCCCCTTACTCTGGAGGTAGGCCATCCACTTCTGAGACTTCGCAGGAGAAAAAAAAAAACTGAAAATGAAAGCTGATCTGTCAGGAAAGCCCTGGAAGGAAGGTTGCCGCACTGCAGAACTGATGACCACAGTGAAAACAGTGCCTGGTGAAAGATGGGAACCATGAGGGCTGGGTACGGGATGCTCACGTCAGACTCAGAAAAGTTACTCTGCTCAGAGATGTCATTTATCACAGGGACAGGATCTGCATTAAATCAACAAAGATGAAAGACCTGCAGGGCGAAGTCCATGAGAAACTAGGTGCAAACTGCAGATGTTCTCATCCTGTGGCTGCACTTAATTCTCCCCAAGGTGAAGCCAGATACTGCCACTGAGGTACCAGCCAGGGAGTGCACCTTAGCCTCTGAGCACAGAACTAAGTGGGAGTCTGTCTGTAAGGAATACGTTTAAAGTTTAAGAGAATGACCTCAGCCATGAAGAATAAAAGCAGGCTTCACCAGAAATCATGTTGCTAACATAATTATCACACTACACTTGTACCGTGTGGCCCAAGAACTCAGTATGCAGAAATGTTTGGATCAGGTGAATATTCCAGCAGTTCAGAGTTCATCTCCCAGAAGTCAGTGAAGGGCCACACCTGAAGACAGGTTGTTCCAGAATGTACAGGGTCAGTTGCCAGATCTGCAGAAGTTAGACTTAACCTGATTAGGTGTCATCCTGGAGTCTGAAGTATGGTCCAGAGGGACAATACAGTTGCTTGTTGTCCTAGGATCCCAAGTGACAGGGGAAGAAAATGGTAGTGATGCCAGTGTTTGAGAAGGAAAGAAAAGGAGGGAATAGAGAAGATAGGAGAGAGGAAAGAGAGAGATAGAGGAAGGATGGAAGAAAAAAAGGGATAACAAGGTAATGAGGAGAGGCTCAAGACTGATGGAATAATATTATGACATTTATTCACCATTTTAGATGTTTGTGTGTACAAAGACATCTCTGAAAGTCAAGTCTTCAAACTTAAATGGTGTGGACCTATAGAATATTAGTTTATATATTTATTTATTTATTTGGTTTTTTGAGATAGGGTTTCTCTGTAGCTTTGGAACTAGCTCTGTAGTACTGAAACTAGCTCTTGTAGACCAGGCTGGCCTCAAACTCACAGAGATCTGTCTGCCTCTGCCTCCTAAATGCTGGGATTAAAGGCGTGCACCACCACCTATAGAATATTATAATATAGATTTTTAACTCTTCCATACTTTGTTAATATGAGGCAGATAATAAATTTGCCTTCTCTGGGTCAGATTTTCTAAAATAAGCCTAGTTCTATGAGATATTAATTAAGCAAGCTAAATTAAGAATTTGATAATAAAGTAAGTTTTGGAAACACTGAAATAAATGAAGGTGAACAAAGAGTTTTACTTTTACTCTTTCAAGGCTTTCCATATTCTAATATGTGCAGTAAGTTCTACCAGCATAGGGTTTAGCGCAGATGTTTCTAGATCTTATTTATTCATAGACTCCCACATCTCCTTTTTAGGGAGCATGGGGACACTTTCAAACTCTTGTAATCCCCTTATCTTCTTTGGGGAGTAAAAACTTCTGAAGTATTTTGAAAGAGTGTTTGTGGTAAATTAATCTAGAAAAGAGATAGTAGACACTAATGGTTGTCTCGACAAAGTCATTAATCCTCTCCTGGCAGTGGGATATTTCAAGGCTGAGATCATTAGGAGAACATCTTTTTCCATTCTGTCACCGGGCTGCTCTGGATGATTTATGGGAATTGACCTCTGTTCAGTTTTCTTCTCTGCAGAACAGGGGATGGGGAGAGAAGAAAGGGATAAAAAAGACCTGCTGGATTATAGTGGGTAAAAGCCTCTGAATCCCAGCGATGAACTCCACTGATTGGTGCTGAAGTGAATGGAGCATCAGTGTGGCCTCGAAGGGCAGTGTTGGCATTCATCGCCACTTACAGCTTCCAATTTGGTTACGAGTGTGTTGAAGACTTCATTTTGATCTCACTCGTGTCTGGTCCCAGATCAGTCCCACTCAGATGTTCCCTTCTGTCTGTCATATGAATACATAGCTTGATCACATTTCTAAATCTTCAAGCAACTGTATCTTTAAACATTGGCTCTAGTGGTCTAGGAGAAACGTCATGATTGAATGGAGTATGAGTGATTTAGAAGACTGACCTATGAAAAGCTAAGGGGAATTTGAAGTCAGAGTGAGGAAATCAGCCCACACTCACAACCCGATATCTGCAACAGGAGAAAGGAGAATGGAGGGGAGCAGAGTGAGGTGCCCTCTGACTTCAGTGAAGTCTCATCAGGCCCATGTGATACCCAGAGCAAAGATTTAAACTTTGAGTCTTTTTTTTTGTCCATAAAGGATTTTTGTTTATGTTTTACATCTCTAAAAAAAAGAATCCCAGGATTTTCCCTCCTGTGTGCTTTTGTCTTGCCTCTTCATGGTCCATGATGCCAGATGAGGTGGTCAGTACAATGAAGCCAAACTGACGGGACGGGAGCAAGTTGTTCTGCCATTTTTCTAGGTCTTTGAGCTGCACATCAAATCTAGGGCTTGTCACTCCACACTTGTTCAGTCTGCCTGTGAGGTTCACGACTATCTTCCCAGCTCTGTGGTCATCAATGATTTCAAATTCACCAATGTAACTGTGCTTCATCATCACAGTTAGGAACCAAACAATGACTTTGGAGCAGGGCCTGATGAGGACCTGGCGTTTGCCTCTCTTCTCTGCATTGTTGATGCTCTTGAGAGCATCAGCCAGGATGTTCATGAGCACCATGGTGGCGGCGTGGGAAGATGGCCGAAAGAGCTAAACTTTGAGTCTTGTACTAGCAGAAATAACTGCACTCTGATACCATAGCATCATTGGCCAAGGAGCAGACCAGGGTGGGCAGAACATGGGCAAAATCTCTATAGGGTACCCAGAGAGCCTTGCTAATGACACTCTGTACTGAGGGTGTCCAGCTGGAGAAGGAGCCACATAGATTGTGGTGCATGCAATGGCCGCCACAGTTTTTACACACCATGCTTCTTCATTTTGGGGCTTATTAGAATTCGTGTTCTATATCTTTCTTGACTAGGGGGCTTGCTATGTTCTTGAACACAGAAGACATTTCTGATTTATCCCTGGATATGTAATAAGGGACCACATACTTGGAAAGACCACAAGTCTTGTAGCACAGAGCAGATAATCAGAAGTTATTTACCACCATAAATGCCCCCCTAATTCATGCTGTCTTGTGAACCTGAGAATTTCCTCTGCTACTGCTAGTGCCCTCAACACCTTTTGAGTATGGCCCCACACTGTCTCCACGGCCCTCTATTGATGTCACAGTTAAAGAGACCACATGATTCCTAAATACTTTGGTATCCTGACAGTAGCATGGAGTTGAACTAGGCCACTCAGCTGTAGAAGTATAGGTTTTCTCTGTGCCACATCCCCCAATCTGCTCAACATCAATATGATCCATATCTAATCATTTTATGTCCTGCAAGGTTTACTATGTACCATTGTAAGGGTTCAGCTTTCAAGTGTAGCTGATCTTGACTGTGAGAGGAGCTTGAACAAATGACACAGCTGATAAATAATTAACTTGGACAACCCCACGTAAATGTCTTCTTGATTGTCCCTCTGTATAATATTGAATGAGTACTGTTAGGGTGTATAATTCATTTTTCATTTTGCTCATTGGAACTACTTATTAACTGCCACCATCCTTAAGACCTCGTAGAAAATATGATAGACTTGGGTATCATAAACATGATTTTTATATTATAGGGTCAATATGGCTCGTGTTGGCTGATGGAACCTGAGTTAGAGTTAGTTATTATCAGCTGCAGAAGGTAGCTCACAAGCACCCAAAAGTACATGTGTATCTATAGAAAGTGAGAGACATTTCTTTGGAAACGCTGCATTTCGAGATGCTAGAAGCATCAGAGGATTAGTGCATAGCCCAAGAAAGGAGAGGAAGGCTGAGAAAGTGGCTCAGTGGATAGGTGCTTGACACACAACCCTGACAACCTGAATTTGGGTTCTTGGAATTTGCATAAAAAGCTAGAGCTGGTCATGCTAATCTTCTCTGTATCATTCCAATTGTAGTGTATGTGCTGCCGAAGCAAGCACAAGACCGTGATGGGGGATACCCATAGTAACAGCTGACCCGAGCTAGTGGGAAGTCAGTGACTCCCAACTGACAGCAGGGGAACCTGCATAGTCCTAAACTAGGCCCTCTAAATGTGGGTGACAGATTGTGGGGCTACTGGCAGTGGTACCAGGCAGGATTTATCCCTAGTGCTTGAACTGGCTTTTTGGAGCCCATTCTCTTTGAAGAGATACTTTGCTCAGCCTAGTATAGGGGGGAGGGCCTTGGTCCTGCCCCAAAGTGATGTGCCAGATTTTGTTGCCTCACTAAGGGAAGCTTACCCTCTCTGAGGAGTGAATGGGGTGTGGGGTGGGGGAAAGGAGGGGGATGGGAGGAGGGGAGGGAGTGGTGGGATTGGTATGTAAAATGAGATAAGATTGCTTTAAAAATAAATAAATTTAAATATTAAAAAAAACCGAGATGTGGTAGCACACGTCTGTAATCCTATCATTGCTAAGGTGATATGGGATGGAGACAGCAGAGGTGAGCGAGGTCCTGCCCAGAACAAGTTGGGAGGTTAGAAACAGCTCCTGAAATTGTCTTCTGACCTGTACATGTGTACTGCAACATGCATGAAGGAGGGAGGGAGGGACTAGGGGATAAGGAGGGGAAGAGGGAGGGAGAGAGGCAGAGAGGAATTGGGGAGGTAGGGAGGGAGGGTAAAGAGGGAGAAAGAGGGGGGAGAGGGAAAGAGAGAGAAAGAGCAGAGAACGTTCTTTTCACTGAGTGTTTTTTTCAGTTAAAATGGTCACACCGCCCTGAAGGTGCCCAAGCTTATCTGAAAAGAAATGCTTTACTTTCCCAGTCACTCACACCACATTGATGAAATTATGAATCAACAGCATTTTTGAGTTCTCCCAGATCGTTTATAATATAGAAAACTCACTATAAAAAAAGATACTGACAAGAGTGCTTAGGATTGTCTTCCCTAGAGCCCACAAGAGCTCTGGAGACTCAGGCGAGGGCTGAGCAAATGAATTGGGGAACCTTCTCTATTGTACCTTTTTTTTTTTTAGGGTGAAATCTTGTTCCTACTCAAGGTGAGGATTTCACTTTCCCATGAAACAAAGAGGAACCGTGACCTCAGCAGTGCAAACTACCCCCAGAAAGCCTTCAAAGATAGAAGTGAGTGAATATCTCTACTAACCTTGGTCACTGTGGGGGCCAGTCATGATAATCTAAGTCTGAGCAGGTCACCCAAAGGAAGTTCTTTACTTCTAACCATTATCATCTGGGATTCTGGCCATTGATAAATTTAAATAAGAGGCCTGAGTCTCAGTAGTTTATCCTAAAACAATAACTGGTAGCAGGAAAACACCACAAACTGAGATTACCCGACCTCCACCCAAAAGCAGACCATTCAAAGGAAATGCCTGACATCCAACCACTGTAGATAGGAACTCCTGCCAGCACACCTCACCAGGACACTCCTAGACAAATGTCAGCCAATCAGGGGTCCTGAACCTCAGAGACCCCCTCACCCCCACTTTTACTACTATAGAAACCCAAATCTAATTGAGCTTGGGGCTCTCTGGATATTCCAATACGTTGAACATGTGTAGAGACCGAGTTTGCAAACTTGATTGAAACAAAGGCTCTTTGCTTTTACATATGGGACTCGGTTTCTTTTGTTGGCTTTTTGGGGAGACCCCACGGATTTGGGCATAACAGTCACCAGCCAGCCTGTTCCTCAGCCAGATTCCTCCACCAGCACCCTGTGGTTGTGATCTACCGTTTCTCCGTTTTGGAGAGTTGAAAGTATGTTTGTCACATTCTGCATAGGATGAAGAGGAACTGTCTATTGGAGCAAATACTGTTCCGTGGGACCATAGTAAACCTTCTGCAGGGCGCCTCTGGGGTCATACAGAGTCAATCATCCCCAGCTCTGTCAAACTCCAGAAAATAGACGCTTACATCAAATTGCCATTTCAGCGCCTGCAATTCCACTAATCCTTCATTTTAGCGGAGGAGCAAAGCGGATTTCATCACAGTCCGAGCTGCCATGCGATGGGGCAATACAGACCTCTGTCCCATGATAGCTACTCTCAGCTAAAAGAGCAATAATCCTTCAACAAAATCTGATGGTGCCTCCTTCCTTTATCCTGCAGATGTTAGGCTTGCACCCAGTGGGCGAAGTCAAGTAACACATTGAGGAAAAGCTGCTGACAGCAAGATTGAGCTGCAACCTGCCTGGTCTGAGCATTTGGGTTTCACCTCAGGTTCTAGGGTCTGATTGAAACGTGTTTCTAAGATTGCAGTTTAGTCCCTAGAGGGCCCTACAGGATAGTAAATTCACATCAAAAAAGCCATTGTATGTTGAATTCATACTGATTTTATGGGGCAGCCTGTTTCTATTTAGATAAGTTCAAACTCCACAGAACAGGCTTGCTTCTCTCTTGGGGGGTTACAAGTTTATGCCTTCCTGAGTGGAATCGTTCAGCTAGAATTGCTCTCATTACCTAGTGTTTTCCCAGAACCATACAATCTCTGTCTCCTCTTGACAGCAAGCATTTCACTTTCTGTAGCCTTCACTTTGCCTTGCAGATCAGACATGTCCTAGCCAGGATACTGGCTGGTTCCCAATGGCTTTTTTTCCTTTCCACTTTAGCAGAGAATTGGGAACTATGGCAGGAGGGAGCCTCAACTCTCAAGGAGCAATATTGCAACAGCATCTGCCCCAGAGACCTCACAGTTCTCCTTCTCTGTAATTTTAAAGATATATATATATATATATATATATATATATATATATATATATATATATTTTTTTTTTTTTTTCTCCCTGCCATCCACTGGATTCAGTGGGGCAATAAATCAATGGAAAGGCTTTAAAATCTTGTTGCTTGAGTGGGTGTTTAGTGTTAATGAAATCCTAAAAAAGACCACATAACTAGAAATTTATTAAAACATTTGAATTGCTGGGGATTATGGCCCTAATGAGTTTTCTATTTTGGGGGGATTCATAACCATCTGACACCAGACAATAAGAGCAGAAGATGCTGATTCCTAGGGCTTCCAACTAATATCAAACATGATGTTGAGGGGCAAAGGCAACCCAGGCTTTGGATTCACGTGAATCTAAAAGTCCTGCTGCGGTCTGGTCTTAGCAGTGTTTCCTGTATTGTTTAGACTCATCTGTCTGCCTGCCTGCCTGTCTGTCTGTCTGCCTGTGTGTCTCTGTCTCTATCTCTCACTTACTACTTCTCTACCTCCTTCTCTCCCTCCCTCCTTGCCTCCCTCCTTCCCTTCATCCCTCCCCCTTTTGTGATTCTGGGCCTGTTACTTTTCTTACTGCTGTGACAATACCAGCCTAAGAAAGGATGGGGACTTTCCGGCTCACAGTTTGAGGACACAGTTCATCAAGACAAAGAGCCATTGTGGCAGGAACTTGGGGAGGATGATCACACGGCATCCAGTTAGGAATCAGATAGTGACAAAAGCTGATGCTCACCTCAATTTCTTTATATTTAGTCCAGGACCATGCAGAATAGTGTCAGCTACATTTGGGGCGGGTCTTCCTACCTAAATTAATCTAGCCTACAAATTCCTTACAGATGGATCCAGAGGGTGTCTCCTAGGTGATCCCAGATCCTGTCACATTGACAGAATTAACCCTCACCCTTCGGATGGATCTCAAGCAATCACTCTA